ATCAAGCACTCACGTACGTACTGCCGGTCCGTACGCACGCCTGCCTGCCTTCCTTCGTCCCTCACTGACTCTCTCTCCCTCCCTCCCTTCCTCCCGAAGCAAGAATTCATCCATTCCGACCCACCCACCCTCCCTCCCTCCCTCCCTCCCCGCCTCCCTCCCTCCCCCCCCACCCACCCGCCTTCCTTCCTTCCTCCCTCCCTCCCTCCCTCCCTCCCCATCCTCCTTACGGACGGTTGTCAAGTACTGCTGGAGCGACTTCGGAGGAAAACGCGAAGACTTGGAGGATGCAGAGGTTAGAGACGCGAGCGAGGGAGATGGGAGGGAGGACGGGTAGTAGGATGACGGGTGGGGCAGGAGACAGCGCTGCGTGAGTTCTCCGAGGAGACGCTGGGTCTGTGGGGAGGAATGGGTTCCCTCGAGGTGCGGGAAGGAGGAAGAGGCCGTCAGGGACTGAGGCAGGACGGCAGCAACGCGTGCAGACGAGCATAGCGAACATCAGGACAATCCTGAGAGATTGTTGTGCAACAGCTGGGAGCGCCGGGGAAGGGGAGGAAGGAGACAACGGCCGGAAGCTGCAGGCGCACAGGGTGGGAGGAGGAGGTTCTTGTTGCTCCCTCCTGAGACCACACGCAGCTGAAAAGAGTCTTCGTGATGAAGAATGGATCATACCTGACTTTCTTCCTGCCTCTCCCGTACATCGACCCTCTGCTGTTCCAGGCATGTTGATCTCTTCCCACGCCCCTTCCTCCTCCTCCTTCTCCTGTATTGATGGCTATCATGGGTAGAAGTAACATTTTCAGCTCCTTTAGTTTTCTTCTTCTTTCATTTTCTCTCTTTCGTTGTCTCTCTAAAAGCCCTTGCTCATTGTCTCCTTGCAGCTTGCAAGAGACGAGAACGACAAGCTTGTTCCTGGAGCTGAGCGAGATAGCGACACGTGCCGGTGACGAGAATACTGGGGAGGGAGAAGTGCATGGAAGAGCTCTGAAGAAAGAGAGAGAGAGTGAGGAGGAGGAGGAGGAGGAGGGGATGAATGGCTTCGGTCAGGTGTGCAGAGAAGAGAGACTGGGCTTGGTTGGACGCTGAGGAAATTCTGCGAGGAATTGAGAAGGTGATGATGCTGGAAGAGGATCAAAGTTGAACAAGCTCGAATAGGGGAAGTGTTGTGTGGTCGACGAGGATGGCCAGGTGAGGAGGAGGAGGAGGAGGAGGAGGAGGAGTTTACGGAGCTTCAGAGATTCAACTTGCTGCCGCGCTTGGCTGTTTCTTTCCGTTCCCACTTGAGATTCATACTGGACCATCTCCCCTGCTGCCGCCCATGCAAGCAATGCAACGTGGTAATGGAAGGAAGAAGTCAACACAGCGGGGAGGGAGGGAGGGAGGAGAGGGAGGGAGGGAGGGAGGGAGGGAGGGAGGAGGCAGTGAAGAAGTAGAAGATGGGAGGCTGCAATGTTTGAGATGAGGAGTGAGGGATAGGAGCTGACAGCATGGCAGACGATTCTGAGGGTCCCCAAGGAGAGCGAGTGTCGCTGTCTGCACCTGCTTGGGATGAAGGCAAGTCGAAGAGGGAGAGGACGAGCTGATGGGAACTGATGAAGATGCAGGAGGGAGTGGAGATGGAGAACATTCGAACCGCCTTCGCAGACGTTATCATCGAGAAGATTACAAGTAAATGGACTGGGAGGAGGAGCGTCTTCGTTGACATGTGTCAGTCTATCAGGACAGGTTCTCTTCAAACAACTGCTTCCTTCTCCTGAAAGACAACGAGGTTTCTCTTGCCCCTCCTTGCTATCATCTCATCCATCATCCAGACTGCTGTACGCGTCAAACACGTCATCGATGCTTCTCCTCTCGCTCTCCAGGTTCCTCAGCTCCTTTGCTCCTCCTCCTGAGGCGACGCAGCTATGGGATGACACCCCTTGCGCTTCCTCCGCCGACCTCCCCAACGAGAGAGTTCAATATGCCTGGTTCGAGGTGATCGCCCTTCCATCCTGCCCTCTTCCTCGGCCTCCCTCTCCCCCTAATCTTCCTCCTTCCTCCTTCCTCCTTCCTCCTTCCTTACCTCCTGCCCTTCTTTCGTGTCTCACTGGCGCCCCTCCAGCATGGCGGTCAGTCTCACTCGCGTCGATCGTCCTCGAGGGGGCAACAAGCTCGTCGGCGGGTTCGCCCCTCTTTGTATGCAGCAAGGCGATCATGACTGACTGCTCTCCCTCCTGCCCCCCTGCCCTCCTGCCCCCCTGCCCTCCTGCTCCTCCAGACTCGCAGGCAGCGCAAGCTCGGCGTGGGACTTCCGCTTGCTCCCTGGGCTAGCGCGAGTGACAGCAGGACGAGGCTGATGACGTGGCAGCGCAAGAACCAGACGCCTTAGAGGCACCGGGGTGGACAATAGCGACAAGACGTATGACACCTGTAGCTGCTGCACGACCTGCCGGGACTCTGAAAAACTTTCATGAAACTGACATGAAAGGTCTGACATGAATGGTCTGCGGCAACCGAGAGAAGAGACGGCGGCAGAAAGCACAACAGCCTTGCAAAGTCTTGTCGTCGAGCTTCAGGGCATGAAATTCATCTCCCTAGGATTGCAAACATACTGTGTGACATCGGTACATGCGACAGTTACGATGTGTAAAATCAAGAGGATTATTCTGATAATTTTTTAATTTCTCACGCAACAAGGAATCTTTTCCTCTCACTCCCCTCTTCAAATTCACATTTTCTTGGCAACAACATACATGTGCACATAGTCCATTCCCTGCCAAGTTTTTCAGTCGCGCGATCGCAGCTGCCGCAGTCACTCACGTGATGCTCTGGGCACTTGGCGACCTCCTCCTCGTACCGAAGGAACAGATCGTCGACAATGGCCTCTGCCAGGGACGCGTCAAGGTTAGCAAGCTGAGGCCCAGTGCAGCGCAGGCACGCGCACCTCGCTCAGCTACTGAACGAGAGCTGTCCAAGGCAGAGTAGAACGTCGCGTTGGACCACGTGCGAGTCGTCGGCACCTGACGAGACGTCAACAAGTCACTCCCTCCCTCTCTCCTCACGTATTCTTTAGCGTGCGCCTTGGCGTCCTTCGATTCACCACTCAGCCACTTGGCCCGGTAGAGGCATGGAACAACTCTGCAGTCTGCAGAGACAAGCTGAAACAAGATCAGCTGCAACCTCCTCCGCGCGCTCTTTCCACCTTCAAACCAGCCTTAGAGACTGCGCTGTTGGGGTCTTGAAAGGGAGCAAGAGTCTCTTCCTTGGTGCGATAATAATTTGGAAACACACAGTTCTCGTACTCTTCCTGCGAAATCTTGCCCTTGTCCCCTGTCAATGCGTGAGGAAGAATCTCACAAAACAACTCGTCTCACGGAATTCTGCCCAAATCTTGTTGAACCAGCCATGCATGCTTTCACGACAAGCCCCGGGCTCAATCTTTCCTTCAGAGTAGCTCGGGACCGTGTGGCCAAGGAACTGGCCCTTTTCATCGGTAGCAAAATTGACGATAACAACGTAAGAGCCTGGACCAAACTTCAATGAGACCTCCTAGGGTTCAGTCAGACTGTACCGCTGGAAAGCTCATTCGCTCTATGGGTGAGGATTCTCTCCCAATCCTTAGCTGCCTGAAACTCCGAGTCAGGCAAAGACTATCAACATGATTCAAGAACAAAGTCATCACCATAGCTGAAATCTTTTGGACCTCATTCTTATCCGCCAACGTCTGCCTCCTGATAGTCAGCAAGATTCTCCAACAGAACAGGCAATCGACATGGTGCAATGCGGTCTTCAACTTCCCAGGATGGTCAGACAACCAATGCCTAGAAAAGAAATCACTTCCTTCACCAGGACATATCAAAAAAGTACATGGCTGTGAACGACATGGAAAGGTTGATGGATCCGCTTCGGAAAGAATTACACCAGTTGCCAGCAAAGTATGTGACCTACCTGGGAAAACACTGCTCGAAGAATGATGTGGCAGATGCCTGAACAAAAACCTTGGAGAAGTCTTTGAGGTAGGGCTTGGGGCCTCCAGCAATCAGACCTTGGGTGTGGTTGAAAACTGACTGTGAGACAGGGGTCAGAGAGAACTACCTACAGTACAGGAAGCAGCAGCCTTACCAACCAATCATTGGTAACCTGATCTTCATAGTGTACACAGATTTCCTGGTTTGGGTTGCGGCTCTTAAGTTCCTTCACGATGTCATAGACCTACAGTGTCGTTAGAAGGCGATGCCTTCACAGCCAATATCCGCCTCACCATGGGCATTGATGTTCCCGCATCAGCACAACCAAAATCGGCGATGTTGTAAGATCCTGACGGAGCTGTCTGACTCTGAAGGCACGACATGATCTCCTTCTTCGCATTCATGACAACCTCGTAACAACCTGCCAGGAACCAATAAGCGATTTTCATACTGTTTCGAACACAATCACCTCTCGTGTTCTGAGAGTAATAACCATCTCCTTTCTCGCCTGGAGTGTAGGCGTCATGAGCTCCTTTTGTATGGGCATGAAGATCCTGAACACCAAAAACACCATGAGGAATAAGATACTGTCCAGAAATACGTGTGAAAAGTGAGAAGGTGAAAAACGAGCTACAGGGTGGCTCGAGGAAGGAGGAGAGGGAGGAGGAGAGGGAGGAGGAGAGGGAGGAAGACAACCATGGCGAACTTTGACTGGTGGAAGCTTCTCCTTCCTCTGGGCTGCAAGGCTCTCGCGGCTCTCAGCGTCTGAGGCACCAGCGACACAACGTTGCGAAGCATGGAAGACTCTAGCGGGAGGGAAAAGGGGACCTTGATAAAGGACCACCCAAACCATCGGTCATGACCCTACCCCATGTGTCAAACCCTTATACCCCCACCTACTCCTTTCAAAGCCATGCTCTACGAAAATACTATCCATCTACCCCCCATCAATTGTACCCCTACCCACCTCACTCTTCCACTACCGGTAGTGTGGTACTGCATCCCAACAAACCACCCAACACTACCCACCCCCACTGATCACAAGATTTCATTGGGTTTAGATAGGTAGGGTAGTAATCCCTGACTTGTGACCCTCTGGAATCCCTGCAGAGTACTCGAGGGGTTCACTACCCCCTTTCAATCAGTCATGGACAGGGGTTATATCAAAAATTGTGTGGGTAGGGGGTACGTTATAAAGAGGGTACGGTGATAGCAGGGAAAAGAAGGGGTAGCTGCCCGCACATGGAGGGAGGATCACGATGCAGGGAATGATATGAGGGGTGGGGTGAATCTATACCGGTTATTATTACTAATAAAATGATGTATATATACGGGTGGGGTAGTATTCATGGACAAAAGTAGTGCAGGGACTGGAATGCCTTTACACGCGATCAGAATCGTGACGAGTACCCCTGCCTATCACACCACCCCAAGAGTACTTGTTATGACCCCACCCCTGCTTAATTGGTCTAATTTCACATCATGCAACCCCTCCTCATGGGCCCCAATGACTGCCACTTCCAGCGACAGGGGTAGGGGTAGTAAAGTTGAGTAAACTTTCAACTTCAAGTTTCAGTTCACCGTTTACTTGTGCCGCACCCGGTGACCCGCCGGGCTGGGCCCGGCCGCCGCAAGTTTGAGGCTCCGAGGGCCAGCCTGACACGGTCACACAGCGGCCGCAACCGTCTTGAACCTTGAATGCTTGCTATCGGCCCGTCGGACGGTGGCGGTGACTCCCGGTCCGCCGGGTGTCCGAGCCACAGTGAACCTGCCTAACCCTCGAAAGTTGGGCCAGGCTTCAACGGCGGCGCTGTGCCGAGCTCCCCCGCGACCCGGTCGCCGGATCAATGATCGGACTCAGAGGTTATTGGGCGTTTCACTTGAACTTCAACATGGCAAGGTGACAGGATGTGGTCCGGCGTTTCAAGCGGCAGGGAACAGGAAACTTGAAATTAGATGTAGGGGAAACATCGAGGGAGAGAAGTGCAGTTAGAGCATGCAAGAGTTCAAGAAAGCACAGGGAGGGTGTACATAGAGGAGTTGCACAAAGGATTATAAAAGACACAGATGATGAATGATGTAGCAGGCTGGAAGACTGAGAATGAGAGGACTGTGAGATCATCATGAGACAAGCAGAGAGCAGTAAAATATGTGGCATGAAGTCAACAAGCTCTTCTCTTCTACCAGCAGTCTGCCTGGCCTTACCCTTGAAGCTGTAACACTCTGCCCAACTTGCAACACCTTTCCTCTCATCACCCAAGCATGTGGTCCTTCCATTGATCCTGTCATACGTTTGAACGATGATTTCGTGAAAGCTGAGGGATTTGTTAGCAAGGCAATGTACCCTCATGCCATGTCTGTTTCTTTTCTCGTGTTATGCTCAGTGGTACAAGAGCGAAAAACACAGTCAGCTGTGCTCATAGAGCAGAATTCAAACATCAGAGAATGTGAAACATGTATTTCTTGACTGCAGTCGTGCATTTTCACGCTCATTTTGAAAACTAATAAACAAACAAGAATGAACCCTGTCCTGGCCACGATCTTAGTACATGGTGCCCACTGCTGCTTCAGCGCATGGGGGATCGAAGAGGGTGCCATCGGGAGACCAGTTGCCTGTGCCAACGGTATGAGAGGAGACGGGAAGGATCAGAAAGACAGCCACCTTCGAGGTTCCAGGAAGACTCCAAAGCGCCATAATCACCAGGCATCCAACCGTCAGATCCAAGGAAACCTGGTGGTATGAGATTGAGTGAAACCTGTCAGCAGCTCTCTAAACAAAACGTCACCATTTCCATCGAGCATGGAGCTCTGTCCAACAGGCACGATTCTCAACACCTGCCATCACTGGGTCATTATCATGCCATGTCGAACGTGAGATTGCCAACACCGTGAGTAGAACGACAGTGAACCTGATCTCAACTGCCATCCTCTCTCTCTCTCAAGTCTCATCATGGAATACCTTCCCCTCCCTCCCTCTCTCCCTCCCTCCCTCTCTCCCTGTTGGTCCCCACAACATACTCCTGTTCCCACGAGTCCATGGTGCGAGATCGCCTCTGGTCAGAGGTCCGGATCAGGCTGCCAGCTGTGTCAGGTTCCGAGACTCCTTCCCTCTTCCTTATCCGCTGACCTCCTCCCCCACCCGTTCCCTCTCCTCTCGCTCCCTCCGCTCCACCTCCACCTCCACCTCCA